TGTAAGAACTCCATTGAAAAATTAAATGTATTGGATATTTAACGAAATCAGAAAATTTATTTAGACTCCCAGAAATTGTTATGCTTTACCATACTTTCTGTTTCCAGTAAAGTTATGTATTACTTTCATGGTAAGAGGAAAAAACCCAGACTTACTCCTTGAAAAGAACAAATACTATTGAAAAACCAGTACAAGAAAATTGGACCAAGACAGCAAAATGCACATACCACTTTCTCCTTTCTTTGCAAATCACTCTTAAGTGTCAAAAGAGATATCTTTTTAAAGGAGTATATCTAAAAACCACTCAACATTTCCATTAGTAGAACAGAAATTGTTGGAAGTTCCTGGAAGATAAAATGCAGGCAAGAATGATTTGATCAAGGCAGAAGATAACTGAGCCTGAAAAAAAAGGCACAAGAGGAAAATGAGTAGAAGGTAAATGTTTATTCAGAGAAAGCTCATATCCAGAAGGAAATAAAAATATCAGAGAGGCACCTCCAACTCAGAAAATGACCAAAGGAACTGAAAAATGGTTTTCCTTCTTGGAACACTGATGGTGAATTCTCAGTGACACAATGACTGCCTTCATTGTTGGTGGAGGCTGTCCTGGTAAGGGTGTGGTAGTGGAAAACAAAAGGAAGACTGAATTACACTTCACTGGGCTTTCTAAAAGGATAAGGACAGGAGTATATAAAGGGAAGTTGGTTTATTTATTCCTGAAAAGGAAATAAATGGCAGTTCTTGGGGACTTTTGTTACTTTGGCATTGATGCCGTATTATGTCTTAAAGTGAAGTGTGATAACCGATAGATCTCACCACTAACATGGGCCCTCAATTCTACTCACAGGAGCGTTCATGGAGAAAAGAGGTCTACACAATTGTATAGAAAGCATGCAGTCTTACCTAAACAAACGGAGCAAACAATCTAGTCCTCCATTAAGAAAGACATTTACGCTGGGCAAGGTGGCTCACACCTGTAACCGCAGCGGCTCAGAGGCTGACACAGGAGGATCACAAGTTCAAAGCCAGCCTCAGCAATTTAGCAAGGCCCTAAGCAACTCAGTGAGACCCTATTTCTAAATAAAATACAAAAAAATAGGGTCAGGGATGTAGCTCAGTGGTCAAATGCACCTGAGTTCAATCCCCAGTTCCCACCCGCCACCCCCAAAAGAAAGACATCAGCACCCATAGATCAAAATCAATTAAACAATGGCAATAAGAAATAAATGCTGCTAAAACATAAATGCATCACTCTGAAGGAAACAGATATTTCAAGGAAAGGGAGAGTACTTTAGAATTAAAGGTTTAGTTATTAATACCTTCAGAGTGCTAGGAGACTATTGTAGCCAAGAAAGAGAAACAGATTGCTATAATAAAAGGAGAAAGATGGAACTTCAGTAAATTGGAAATATGAATGTTGCATTTTTTAAAAAAATTAATGAAAATCACAAGTTAATATAACCATAGCCAAATTACTAACATAATAAATGAAGAGATATCGAAGAACGCAGAACAAACCCTGGGAAAATTTAGGAAATAAAAGAGAACAATGAAGACACACAAAGGTTCCACTCAATCAATGCAAAATAAGGATATCAGAAGGAGATCACAGAGAAAGTAAAATGAATAAATACTTGTTTTAAATGTTTTAGACAAAAATATATAGAACCTAGGGGCTGGGGTTATAGCTCAGTATTTGCCTTGCATGTGTAAGGCACTGGGTTTGATCCTCAGCACCACATAAAAACAAATAAATAAAAAAGATATTGTGTCTGTCTACAACAAAAACAATATTTTTAAAAAAAGCATATAGAACCTAAAGAAAGAATCAGCTCTCAAATTGAAAGGGCACATTCCAGTACTGATTAGGAAGATTTTTTTTTAAAGGTAAAACTGGTAATATTTCAAGATTCTAATAGTAAAAATAAAATTCGAAAAGTTTCCACTCCATCAAAAGACTGAGACATTGTTCTTTGCCATAGTGATCATGCATGAGAGAAGATTATAGAAAGTATCTTTGAAATTCTGAAGGAAAGTGATTTTGAGAATGGAATTCTATGAGTAAAAGAAAAAATTAATAACTAGAGTAATCTATATATCTATTTTTCAAATTATTAAATTTATATGCTCACTGGGTCAAATTCATATATGTAAAATTAATGCAAAGTCTTATCATTCTTCACTAAGAAAGTGAAATGGGAAAATTTAGTTATATTCAATTAATGTAGGTAAATGATTCCATAGAAAGGCCATAAAGAGTAGGAAGGGGAGAGGAAGAGAAAGGAGAGGAGGAGGGCAGAGGGAGGAGATCTGGACAGAGACACAGGAAAGAGGAAGGAAGATGGAATTGTCATTTATGCTTCAATTTCAAATAGAAAACTGAAAAGGCTGAGGTCAACACTTAGAAACATCCAACTTTCTTTTACTTGCAGAAACAGATGCTGATTTTTTTAGGGAAAAAAAAAAGCAAATCTGCAAAGGTGTTATTTAGACCTTATATATTAGAATTACACAACTTTTTTCCCCCCAAAGGCTAGGTTTATATGGCTTTTTACGGTTTTAACAAGAAAAGATCTGAATTATTTTAAGCAGTCTAGACAATGTCAGGCATTTACTGACTCTCATTTCTCTGATTCCCCCATTTTCAAGTTCAGCACAAGAATTCTCTACTCCCTGGAATGGATAATATATGGTCTTTCCTCTGTTTTCAATGCCTGCCCCTCCCCCTCGTTGCCCTCCATCTTAGTTACCATTCTCAATTCATTCTAGACCTGGGGCTTTAATAACAAGAGAGAAAGGAAAGCAAACCCAAGGAAGAGCCCTGGGGCCAACCTCCCCTCCACAGATACATCAACTAGACCCTTTCTGTCCTTCCCAGAGTTGATGCTGAACAGTAGGTGGCCCAAATGTATATCAGAGAAGGAAGACTCATTTCTTTTGACACTCTGGACCCAATGAGCAATTTCCCATTTTATCTTTCTCTTCATGGAGGGTTAAAGTAAATGAAGAGGGAGGTACACAATAAAGGAACTCTATGTTACTAGAAGTCCAGAGAAAGTAAATGAATAAATACTCGTTTTAAATGTTTTAGACAAAAGTATATAGAACCTAGGGGCTGGGGTTTATAGCTCAGTCTTAGGAAACCTGAAAGGGTAGTTACACATTTCCTGAGCAACTGGAGGATTTAGGAGAAATCTACAGACCTTTTTCTATTTCATAGTTTGATAGAGTAGAACCAAAAATTTAGTCTCAAGTAGCTGGAAACAGATGTGAGAAAGGAAACATGTAAACAAAGTGTATAGGACCCTCACAACTATGATCCTGAAAGTAACTAAAAAAATGACCCAGGGAATTTTAAACATTAGGACAAACCTTTTTTTTTTTCCTTGATAGGCATCTTGGCCAGACACCTGTGTTTCAGGTTTTGGCCTCAAGTTGTAGGATCCATCTTTACTCAATTACAGACATAGAAAAATCCCACCATCCAGAAAGACATGGGTTTCAACTAAGTTGAACGTTCGGATATCACAGAACCTAGAATGCACTTACTTCAAGGTGTATCTGCTATCACAATAGACAGAAGATTCTAGAACTGTGCTGTTAAATACATAAGCTATAAGCCACAGGTGACTGTTTAGATTTAAATCAGTTAAGATTAGAAAAACTTAAAAATTCAGTTCCTTCTTTTACTCTAGCCACATTTCAGTTGCCAGTTGCCACATAGACTGGAGACTACAACAATGGATAGAGAGATATTTCTATCAATGTAGAAAGTCTAAAGGGTAGTATTATTCTAAGACACCATTACCACAAATGGAAAGGTCAACTATGCAGATGTGAGCTTCCCTGGCAACTATCCTTGATGATTAATATATGTAAGTGAGAAGATGACTTACAGACAACCTAAAGTCATTCAAATTGATGACTAAGTCTTCAAGCATGATTTCCACTAGAGATCCTTGAAGTTTTAATTTATGTCATTATTGATATTAAAACAAAACAGATGAGAAACCTAAATCAGAATGATTAACTAAACTGTCCCAGGCAACTTTTCTGTCACTGCAGAAGAATATCAAATTTCCTTTTTTCTATATACTAATTACCTCAAAAGTTCCAAGAATCTTATCTGCATAGAACCTAATATAGGACCTTATACAGAGCATGTATTAATAAAGTATTTGTTAAATCAATGAAGCAGTTACTGCAATATAACACTGCAGTGGTGCAATGAATGAATTAAATAATTGTAAGACAGAAATAGCGGGAGGAGAAAAATGACAAACTAGGAAGCAAAATCATAGCCTTGGAACTTCTAAGGGTAAGCTGGAATTTCAGTCATTTCTCATAAAACATGGGATGCTTCCTTTTTATGGTGTACTGAATCAATCTCTTGCCCACTTAACTAGTGCTGTTATCCTTCACTTTAATTTTTTTTAGTTGTAGATGGATACAATACCCTTATTCTATTTATTTATATTTTTTATGTGGTGCTGAGGATTGAACCCAGTGCCTCACATGTGCTAGGCAAGTGCTCTACCACTGAGCCCTAACCCCAGCCCCATCTTTCACTTTTTAGCCATGTTAATTTTTCTGAACATACAGTCTACTCTACCATCTTCCCCCAACTTCCATGTAAAATAACCCACCCACTTTCTCACAAAGTCTGACCACAGAATTCTCATTCAGTGCTTAGATTTAAGTAAGGCACTGTGTATCCACACATAAATACCCACTTCACTACCAAAGAAGTTACTTTCAAACTTCAACATAGAAGAAAATAAATTTGGTTTGGAGGGAGAATGAAGTTATGAGAAATGAGGAATGATCATTCAAGTTCAAATTTATAAAATGCTGCATTATGGTGTCTGTGTTAGTTTTCTCTGACAACTGATATGGAACCAGCCTTTTCTGATATTTTTTTCTCTTCTTACCATCTCCTCTTGCCGCCCATCCCCCCTCAAAATCTAAGTAACACTTTTTAAGCCATATTCATTACTTACAGGAGATTCACTAACTCCAAAGATGTCTCTGACATCCCTGACAGACTGCTTATTCTTTTTTCTCAGGGTTTGGGTATAGGTATTATATCTCTTTTTCACCGCAGCTGCTTGGGTTCGAGTCAATGTAGAGAGCAGGGCTTTCCCATCTTCCTCTTCGTTGCCTGAGATCAAAGTTGATAAACCCACATCTTGCAGCCACTCAGCTTCAAGTTCTCCTTCTGTAACACAACATGACCAAGAGGAGATTAGGACCTTTTCCATATGTGTGTAACTATAGGTCTATGGACATAAGACAATAAGAAATATCAGTAAGCAATATGAGATGTCTCATTTTATTAAAGTAATTATGGGAAAGGATTATAAGAATAAATGAAAAGTCTTAATTTTAAAATGCAATACAAAGTCCAATTATAAAATATTGTCCAGTAGAGCAAAGTTGACTGGCCAATTTAGAAAGATAATTTTCCTTGCCAGAGGGTTAAACATAAGCCATAGGTTAACTGCCAATTTCAAAAATATGATAAAATATAACTATTAAGACTAAAAAAATAACAGAAAAAGTATGGCTTAGTGGAGCACAAAGGGTTTGTAAATCACTCAAATCCAAGGACAAATCCTAGTACTACCACTGATTTTAGTAAATTGATTAAATACCTCCAGCAGTGTCCCCTCAGCAAAATGGGTGTAGTGATTGATGTTGCCTTGGGATTCATTTTCATGGGCTTAACTTCTCCATGCCACAAGCAGGGCTCAGTCACCTTGGAGAGCTTCCAGTTTTCCACCTCTTCCCAGTTCCTCCAGATACCTGCCTTGTACAACTTTTTCCTGGTTACCACCTGCCTATCGGATAACAAGATGCAACCTACTTCACTGGCCCTGCTGGCCTTACCCCGCTCACGGCCTGTGTGGAGACACCTTTCAGTGACGACCTTTCAGTCACAGCCTCAATCCATGTTGCTCTGTGCCTGCTTTTCTCAATCTACCAATAGAACTCACCCTGGAACATTCTACTTGGGTGACATCCTGGACTCCAATAAGGGCTTCAGCCCCCTGGTACCATGCTCCTTCTTTCTTGCTCCCCCTTCACTGGCTGAACATATGGGTCCTGGATGACTTCCCCTCTTCCTTTTGTCCCTGTCAGGCGTAGCCCTCTCCTCTCTAGGACCTGTTAGTAATACACTGCTTCTGTTACTTCATGTGTCTTGAGTTGCCTCTTCTGATCTCATCTGACCAACACATGCCAACCTAATTTCCTTCCCAGTCAGGGGTCTCCTGAAATGGCTATCTTGGTAGGAATAAACCGGACGCAGGTCAGACAAGAGCCACAAGGGCACCTGCCATATAAACAAGTTTCCTTTAAAAAGGTCAACTCGTCATAGTGTGGTAGAGAATCATCTCATGAATAAGCACCTTGTAAACATTTATAATCATGTGCCTTGGAGTTTCATCAGGGCAGGGCTTGATTAATAGCCACCATTTTGTGAGTGACCACAATACCAATAACAAGAGTATCAACAATGGGGACAATAATAGCAAATTAGGTAGACTTGATGATTTTTTTTAAAGCAATGCATTTATAAAGACGGCAAAGAACCTGGAATAAGATATTCAATAAGTATTTATTTTCCTATTTCTCTCCTTACTCTGAGCATGGGGCAATAATTCTACCCTTTTCAGAAGGTGATTTAAAAATGTAAGATTCATCCATGAGCATTAGCTGCTATTATAAACCAGAGGTATAGAAATGAAAGAAATTCAGGATAATGACGTCCCATAAAAGCAAATCTATTATATGCACATTTCTAGGTACCAGGCAAAACAGGCATTGCCTGAATAAAGCTTGTTTAAAGAGCAGATTAGACTGATGTGTAAACACATGTCAAAGCAGCAGTCTAGGAGTCCTGGACTCTGCGTACATGATTGCATCATTGATATATAAACAAAGTCTTCTAATGTGCTTTACAGGCCCAATTTCTTAACTAGGCAAATATTTTATTTGCTATCTTGTTTTTATTGTTTGTTTGCTTTGTAAACTGTCCCTTTAACAAAAAAAAAAAAAAATGAGGTGCATTTATGGTTAGCAGCTCTACTCTAACATAATAATCCTTTTAAATCAGTGAGTTGTGACTTGGAAGTTTCTCATAAGCCTTAGGTAAGATTTTCATTTCTGAAGACAAAAATTATACATATAGTTTAATATGAAAGCTTTAAATTGTATGTTTTCTCTTCAACTCTGTAAGGAGAGATGACACAGTAGGAGGAAGGAATAACTGGTAGGTTAGGGTTAACATAAACTCGAGGTGGAAATGGTATATGTAGAATGTTTTCCTAGGTAAGAAACATCTACAGCAGATATCAGCATGTCTCCTGCTTGCTAAATTACATACTAGGCAATCCTATTCTCATTACTCCAGTTGTTAAATGTGTAACTGCAGCCTAGAGCACGCCTTTGAATTTCAGCTCCATGTACCAACATCCCCTTGGCTGTATCAATCACAACATATTCAACACGTTCAAACCTGAACCCATCCATCATTCAACTCTAGGCCTCTTTCACTATTGCATGTTTCAATAAATAGAATTTCTATTCTAGTAATTAGGCAAATGAGTAACTTGGGAGACATTCCTGACATCTCCTTCTTTATGGACCAACTAGAGCACATAAACAAGAACCTTTTTATTTTCCTTTTTACAGTATTGAGGATAGAACCCAGGGGTACTTTACCTCTTAGAGATACCCCTACACCTCACCCCCACCACTCTTTTAAAAAAGAATTGAGATAGGGTTTCACTAAGTTTTCCAGGCTGGTTTCAAATTTTCAATCCTCTTGCCTCAACCTTTTAAGTCATTGGAGTCATAGGCATGTACCATGGCACCAGGCTTCACCAAGACCTTTTGATACTACTTCCTCATTTTATCTCAAAAGTACTTACCTTCCTTAATCTCTTCTGCCATGACCCTGGTCAAAGCAGCCATCATCTCTCATCTAGACTGCTAGGTCAGAATCTTGATAGTTCTTCCTACAGCCATTCTTGATACTCTTCCAACTTCTTTTCCATATTGTAACTAAATTAGTCCTTTCACATGTAAACAAAAATCATGCTATGACTTTTCCTTTCTTCAACGTGGTCTACAACATATAAGGCTGCTTCATTTTCTGGACACATTCATACAATCCTCTTCTAACCCTCAGCTCCCCAGAAATACCAACTACTTTAAAGTCCTCAAAAGTTCCATGTTCAATCAACAGATATATGAAAAAATGCTCATCATCTCTAGTAATTAGAGAAACGCAAATCAAAACTACTCTTAAGACTTCATCTTACTCCAGTTAGAATGGCAACTATTAAGAAGTCAAACAACAATAAGTGTTAGTGAGGGGGTAGGGGAAAAGGTATACTCATACACTGAGATGGGACTGAAAATTGGTGTAGCCAATATGGAAAACAGTATGGAGAATCCTTAGAAAACTGGGAATGAAACCACTATTTGACCCAGCTATCCCTCTCCTTAGTCTATACCCAAAGGACTTAAAAACAGCATACTACAGGGACACAGCCACATCAATGTTTATAGCAGCACAATTCACAATAGCTAAACTGTGGAGCCAACCTAGATGCCCTTCAGTAGATGAATGAATAACAAAAATATGTGGCATATATACACAATGGAATATTACTCAGCAATAAAAGAGAATAAACTCATGGCATTTGCAGGTAAATGGATGGAGCTGGAAAAGATAATGCTAAGTGAAGTTAGCCAATCCCAAGAAAACAAATGCCGAATGTTTTCTCTGATATAAGGAGGCTGATTCATAGTGGGGTAGAGAGGGGGTACATGGGAGGAATAGATGAACTATTCATAGTGGGGTGGGAGGGGAAGGGAGAAGGCATGGGATTAGAAATGATGGTGGAATGTGATGGACATCATTATCCAAAGTACATGTATAATGACACAAATTGGCGTGAATATACTTTGTATGCAACCAGAGATATGAAAAATTGTGCTCTATATTTGTAATAAGAATTGTAATGCATTCCACCATCACATATAAATAAAAAATTAATTTAAAAAAGTTCCATGCTCTATTTTGTTAGCAAGGCCTTTTGTGTGGCAGTCTACTTGACCCTTTAATCACTGGTCACTCAAACTGCCAGGTCTGTTTGTACATCTCTCCCTCAATAAAGTCTGAAGCCATCAGACAGGGCCACATCCTACTAATATCAATTCCAATACTACCATTCTTTTTTCCTTCAAGTAATCCCCTCCCCCCAATAGATCAACTTATAGTATTTCATTAATTACTTTATCTTCCCCTACATTACTAATTTCATGAGAAAGAGAAACATGTCTGTTTTGTGTATAGTCTATCACCAACACCTTTCATTCTACTTAGTACAGAGCAGGGAGACATATGTGTTGAATTAATTAAATGAAAAAATAAGTTTCTGTTGAAGAACATAACTAAAAAATATATTCTAAGAAGTCATAAAACAATGAATAAAAAATTTCAACTTTTAAAAATAAACCCAGCTGGGGCTGGGGCTGGGGATGTGGCTCAAGCGGTAGCGCTCTCACCTGGCATGCGCAGGGTGCTGGGTTCGATTCTCAGCACCACATAAAAATAAAATAAAGATGTTGTGTCCACCGAAAACTAAAAAATGAATATTAAAAAATTCTCTCTCTCTCTTTAAAACAATAAAAAAATAAACCCAGCTATCATATATATCATTCCATACTGAAAGTCCCAGCTATCATATACACCCTTCCATACTGAAATTCTATCAGCTTAGAAAGTTTGATGGAGAAACATATCAAACAAAATAAAATCTTCTAGTAAAATGGAGTAGCTTATACTGACATAATTGTATTGTATTTAACTGTTACAAATTCTGAAAAAAATACACAAAATAACTACATGAAGATACTAGAAAAGAATCAAATACAGGAACTAAAAAATACCAAATTTTTATAAAAGAAAATGTACTGGGTAGGACTTGCACTTATACTGATCTTCAGCTAGGGTCATTTTCCAATCTCTACAGTACAAGGTGACTAGAACTCAAAAGAGAAAGACACATTTTTATTTATTTGAGGAGTTACAGAATAAAGTATAGGATTACATAAACAGCTGAAAAGTGAGGAGCACATTCCTGTTAGTAGGGAACCACATAGGATAGAGTTCCAAAATCTGTGCATAAATTCTGACCAAATTCTTGACTAAACCTTGAACTAAAAAGTTGTATGGGAGACTCCAAGCATGGGGTGAAAGAGTGAGGGAAGCAGATGAAGACAAACATAACTGACCAAGATTACCCAGCCTGCACTGAGTAGGGAAGAAGAGTTAGAAGGATGAATCCAGTCAAGTTAACTGCTAGAACCAAAATGAACTTGGTTTAGAGAATATAACAGAAAACAGTCTCTGAAACATATTGATCACGTAGAACAGAATATCTCAGAAAAGCAAGCAAACAACAAAGTAGATCAATTTAACAAGAGACAGGTAGGCAATAGAAAGTAACTCTGAAGATTCTAATATTGAATAAGCACATGAAAGTAGCTCTCCTACCTATGCTCAAGGACTTAAAGGAGAAAATGCTTGTGATATGTGTGAGCAGACAGGGAAACTCAGCAAAGATCATAAAATAAATGAATTTCAAATTATGAAACTATGGTCCCTAACCACAACACAATTAACTTAAAAATAGATAACAAGATGTCTAGAAAATCCCCAGTTATTTGGAAATTAAGAAATATACAATAAAAATGAGAAAACATCTGAAACAAAACTATAATGAAAGTACAACATATTCAAAATTGGTAGGGTGCAGTGAAAGCAATGTTTACCAGAAATGTTCATACATGCTTGAAGTTGCTATCTTAAAGAGAAAAAAAAAATGAGCAAATACTCCAGTTGCCAAATGTGTAACATAATTTAGAAGAAACACAGATTTTATTAATCTTTTAATGAATCATGTAGAAAAAGCAAATAACAAAATTCAATACCCATTCATATTATTTTCAGAAAATAGGACTAGAATGCTATCTTGTAAGAGCATCGTTAAGAAGTTCACAGATACCATCATGTTTAACAGAGAATACTGAACCCTTTTCCTGTAAAGCTGGGAATACAGCAAGCATATGTGTTGCTACCACTTCTATTCAACTTGTGCTGGAATCCCTCATCAGTACAAAAAGACATGATTTTTAAAAAAAGTATAAATATTAGCTAGAAAAACAAAGTTGTTTTTCTATAAAAATCCTAAGAAATACAGAAGACAATCACTAGAATTTAGAAAGGTAATGGGATATAAAATCAAGATACAGAAGTTGTTATTTCTGTATACCTGCAGCAAAATATTGGAGAGAGAGAGAGGGAGAAGGAGAAGGAGAAAGAGAGAGACTGACTCAATTAAAAGACCCTATTTAAGAATATGAATAGGCAAGACCAAGAGAGAGTGAGAAAATATTTATAGTACATCCGTCTGGGAGACTTGTATCGAGAACATATCAAGAAGTCATGCAAATCAGTAATTTAAAAAAAGGCAGTTTTTTAAAAGAGCCAAAATATTTTTATGAAACAAGACAAATGAAAGGATAATAAGTACAGAAAAAAGTTAAACATCATTTGTTACCAGTGAAATGTAATTAGAACTATAATGAAATAGTTCCATGCATCTCCTAGAATCCCTAATATATAGAAAACTGATGACATCAAATGTTGCAAAATGTGGAAATGGAACTGTCTGTCATAAATTGCTGAAAGAGGTGTAAAATGGTAAAGTTACTTGGGAAAATTGCTGGCACTTTCTTACATAGTTTAATATATCCTATACAAAATACATGTATCTAAGAGAAATAAAAACATATGTCCACAAAAGATTTCTTACAAAATTACTCATAGAAGTCTTATTTATAATAGCCAAACTGAAACAAGAAAACCAAACCAAACCCAGAAGTCCATTTGCAGCTAAAAAGGATTTTTTAAAATGTGGTATATTGGGGCTGGAGTTGTGGCTCAGTGGTAGAGCATTGCCTAGCATGCGTGAGGCACTGGGTTCAATCCTTAGCACCACAAGGAAATAAAATAAAGGTATTGTGTCCACCTACACCTAAAAATATACATATATTTTAAAAATAAGGTACATTCATTCAATGGAATAATACTACTACAGGTGAATTGTGCCTCCAAGAAAGATATGTTGAAGCCTTAACCACCAGGGTATCAGAAAATGTGACTTTTCTTAGAAATAGTCTTTACAGATATAATTAGGATATAAATGAATGCACATATTAAAATATCATGATGTATACTATAAAATACCAAGTTTTCTGGTACTTTGTTAAGGTAGCCCTAGTAACTAATACAAACTACCCACTAATAAAAAGGAAGTAACCAGTAATACACTAGCTGAATCTTTAAAACATTATGCTCAGTGAAATTAGCCAATCCCAACAAACCAGTCATGCACAAACACAGGAACCATAGGACAGTGAATCACTAAGTGGGATAAGACTGTGACAAAGCATGAGATTTCTGGGTTGAATGAAATATTGTCTATCTTGATCCGTGTGAAGTTACAAGTGCATCCTTTTGTCAAAGCTCAATGAACCACACACTGAAGAGCTGTGAAAATACTTCAAGGACATTTGAAGTAAATATTAAACTATAAATATTAAACTCTAGTTAATACACCTGCAGTTTATAGTGGTTTAGGCTAGCAGACCTGAAAATATTTTCCATTATTCTAGGCAGGAACCAAAGAGTAAATATACAGTAGAGAGTGGGAGCCAGGTTTCTCATTATCGGAGAAGGGAGTTATGAATAAAGAAAAAGAGAAGACAGCAATAGACCCTGTGGCTCTAGATTTGAATTGGAGGTTATGACTGTGAGCTCACGGTTTGTAATTTGATCACATAGGAATTAATGTATTAAATTGACGTATTTCTGAAAATACAAAATGTCAGGAAATAAGTAAAGGGGGTAAAAATAGCCTTCCCTGATAGAGGACAGTTCCCTAGAAGAGATTCTCATGGTCTATGTGGTGAAGCTTTTTATTACTAACTGTGGGATGTATACTAATTGTGCTGCATCTCAGTGATCACTTCCTAGTGCTGAGAAAAGCAGACTTTTTAGAAAAGGGAATGAAAAATGAAAATATATATTTTTTTAACTTCAGTTTATCTTGACAGTTGTCTTGAGGCTACTCACAGGCTTATGAAAGCATTTTTAGGTGCATATTTACTAATCTAGCTTCAGTCTTTCTTGGATATTTATGTATTTACCTGGTGATTGCTAGGGCTTAGAAGAAAGGGCCTATACTTTTAATCCCAGGTAAGCAATGCAATTTTGCTTTTTGCAAACTAAGAAAAATTAGACCCTTTTTTTTTCTTTGTTTTCATGTTTTGATCTTCAACCTTCTTCGGTTTTGTTTCACTAAAAATCAGGAGGCTAAACTTGACTTTTATTTTTTGTGGAATACCAGACAATCTAATACACTAATACAAGTACTGAAAAAAAAAAGAAGAAAGAAATGATTCAAAATGAATATTTTTCTCCAAAATTATACTAGCAAATTTCCTTTCCTCTTTTCATAACTAATAGTCATGTATACAAAGTAAAAGCCATCAAAACTAGAATACTCATTCTGCTTGATGGTAAGGTACCAAATCAACAGAGAGGTACAGCATCTAAGTAGTGAAATACAAGGACTCAACTGGTTCAGCTGAGGCTCAGCCTCCTTCATGGATGAAAAGCCAATCTGAGCCAATTCAGCAGATAAAAATCAATGGGAACAGGGAACTGATATGCCAAGTTCTACTGATTTTTAAGCTACAAGTGGAGTGTCCCCTTACCATCCACAGGCTTGACCTCGGCCGGCAGCTGCTCTTCCTGCCCTCCCACGCTGTTCTCTTTAATGCTTTCTATTTCCCGCCAGAAATCCTCCATGGAGGTGCTGTCTATGGAGGCTTGTGAGTTGGAGCGGCAGAATGCAGGAGAATGTAGGGATTCATTGGAGAGCATCCTGTTGATTCTTCGGCAGCGAGGAATGGATTTTCTAAGGAAAGAATAATATTTGTAAATGCAAATTGGTGTACTTATGTTACAAAGTCACAAAAATTTAAGTTTAAATACAATTTGTGTGGAAGAGAGGGATTCCAGGTAATCATCTCCATTCAGCAGCAACCCTATTTTATTCTCAATACTTCATTATGACTCTGTGGCCATATAGGAATCAATGCCAAAATATATTTTGTGATTCTCACACTTTCATAAAATCGGAAGTTAAGCATATATATCAGTCAAAACATGTATGGAAAAGGCTCGTTTCTGTAAAGTATCTAAGACATTGATTGCAAAAGCAGTGACAAAGTACTTGTTCTCACATCCATTAGTACAAGAAATGTTGGCAAGGAGGTGAAGAAATTGGCACGTTTGTGCACTCTTGGTGTGAATGTAAAATGGTACAGCCTCTCTGGAACACACTGTGGTGTTTCTTCAAAAAATTTAAAAAGGTTATTCCATATGATCAGCAATTCCACTTCTGGATATATACCCAAAAGAATTGAAAGCAACGACTCAAAAAAGATATTTGTACAACCATGCTCACAACAGTACTATTCACAATAGTCAAAAGGTGGTACAATGCAATAGATCAGCAAATTATAGTGTACATGCACAGTAGAATATTATTCAGCTAGAAACAGGAGGAGCATTTTGACAAATGTTTTGACGTGGATGAGACTCAAGGACATTATGCTAAGTGAAGTGAGCTAGTCACAAAGGAACAAAGACTGTATGATCCTATTTGTGAGGAACCAAGAGTAGTCAAATCCATAAAGACAGAAAGTAGAATAGTGATTGTTAGGGGGTGGAAGAGGGAAAAGAACAGCAGTGTTTAATGGGTAGTGTTTCAGATCAAGATGAGAAGTGTTCTGGAGAAGGCTGGTGGTGATAGCTGCACAGCATCAGGAGTGCATCCAGTGCAGCTGAACTACACCCTTAAAATGGTAAATTATATGTTATGTCCACTTCTCATATTTTAAAGTTGAAAAAACCCACAAATCTATTACAAAAATTAACTGCTAAGATTATAAGAGAGTGAGAAAGAAGAAATAATCTGTAACATTAAGTGGAAAAACCTATGACTCAGAATGGAGACCCTTGGTCACTTGGTAAGAATAATTTCCCCACCCTAAGAATAGAGTACAGCTGTTAAGAGTGACAGTGTCGGCTCCTATGGTCACTCACTACCTGACAGTATCACTGCCAATCTAGAAGTAAAACAGCTTGAGTAACTTCATGGGGTACTCTCCTTATGGAGTTGCTGCCAGGACTAAATGAATTAGCACACGTAAAGCATTGAGAACATAAAGTTTCCAATAAATGCTTATTTTAAAAAGTAAGAGGCACATTAAGGTAGACATATGTCAAAATGTTGAAATCCTGAGAGATTATGATGAATTATATAAAAATAAAATGTTACTCTGTGATACATGATTGACAAATATTATATTTCCTAAGAGCAGAATGTCTGATTAACGGAAACACTCTGGTCCCCAGCCATGAAGACTGAGTTCAGTTGTACCTCCTGTTGTTGTTCTCACATGATTTGTTTTTGCTTGTTTAATTTTCAAATTTGGGGGCTGAGGATGTGGCTCAAGCGGTAGCGTGCTCACCTGGCATGCGTGCGGCCCGGGTTCGATCCTCAGCACCACATACAAACAAAGATGTTGTCTCCGCTGAGAACTAAACAATAAATATTTAAAAATTCTCTCTCTCTCTTTCTTTCTCTCTCTCACTCTCTCTTTAAAAAAATAATAATAATTTTCAAATTTGGTGCATTTTTGCAACTTCTTTCAAAGAATCTCTTCCTAGCTGGGTACAGCAGCTCATGCCTGTAATCCCAGCAGCTTGAGAGGTTGAGGCAGGAGGATCATGAGTTCAAAGCCAGCCTCAGCAAAAGCAAGGTGCTAAGCACCTCAGTTAGATCCTGTCTCTAAATAAAATACAAAATAGGTCTGAGGATGTGGCTCAGTGATTGAGTGCCTCTGAGTTCAATTCCCAATACCAAAAAAAAGAGAATATCCTCCAAGTTCACTTTTATTTCTGGCTGAGATTACTGCTTAACCAATGTATGGTCTGAGCTATTTCACCCTAAATAAGAAAGAGATAACTACAGCAAAGACACAGTAATGTCAACTGTGGGCATTATGACTCCCTTAAGACAAACTAAATTTTGATATGCAGACCCGCAGTGGATTATTATCAAGTGTAGTGTTGTAGTTTAGATATGACTATCACCCAAAAGTTCATGTGTTAGACAATGCAAGAAAGTTCAGTGGTGAAAGGATTAGATTATGAGAGACTTAACCTAATCAGTGGATCAATCCACTGATATGGATTAACTTGGTGGTAACTGTAGGCAGGTGAGGTGTGGCTGGAGGATGGATCGTGCACTGGGGGCCTGTCTTTGGGGTTTATCTTTTGTCCCTGCTGAGTGGAGATCAATCTCACACTCCCTGTCCCCCCTCTCCTTCCTGATTGCCATGTTCTGAGCTGCTTCCCTTTGCCAAAACCCTTTGCCATGATGTTCTCTTCCTTATGTAGGCCAAGATCTATGAAGTGAGCCCCCTGTGGACTGAACCTCGGAAACTGTGAGCCAAAATGAACTCTTCCTCCTCTAAGTTGTTCTTGTCAATTCTTCCTCCTACAGGTTGTTCTTTTTGGGTCTTATAGTCACAGCATGCAGAGGCTAACTAAACATTAAGCCATGGCCCATGGCATATGTAAAACACAGAGATATGCATGAGAGTACATAAGGAGGGAGGAAATAATGTTTCCATAAATAGGACCAAAAAATCCTATTTGCATCATATTCTCTACCCCTGGGGATCCTTCCCAGATTTCTAAATCACCTTTGGTAGAAAATTCTAGAATTTTATCATTGATCCTTTGATGTATGGTACCTGATTGTAAGTAGTTCTAGTTTTGAAGTTAATTGACAGTAACAGAGACAATTTATGTTTTTAAAATTAAAGCATTCAAGAAAAATATAAAATGTATTTTATGATAAAAAGAATTTTAGGCATCTGTATTTGATAATTTGGTGGTAAGAGATTTTTCACTGAATTCTTTATAATTGGACAAGATGGACCCATTCTAGTGGTTGAAATACATATGAAATCAACAAGATAATGAGACAGTTATTGCTCCCTGTATTATTCTTAAGGTTTTTAAGATTTTTTTTTTCCTTTTGCAACAGATGAGTGATATCAGTCATGACCAGCTGAGTAACACACTGGTTCATCTAAAACAATCCACCAAAGAATTCTTTAATTGCAATGATCAAGTATTTTTTTGGCAAAGAAGTCAGACAGCATTTTTGAGACAAGCACCCTTGGAAGAGCTTTCACTTTCTTAGTTAGGGATCCAAGTATTTCCCCTTCATCCCAGGGTGGAGAACAGGTCCTGACCTTCCACTCCCAATATATTATATAACTCTGGCCCTCAAGCCCATCCAGCCAGGAGCCTTAATCTGCAGCTTCATTCCTCACCATATTAGGAGAAAATCCAGTTTAGGCTTTATCAGCTGTTTGTATTTTTTTTTTTATTCCAAAACAATACCAGGAAAATGTTACATGGAAAATAGAATGCAACTCTGTGGCACAGCTACTTTTGTTGGGAAAACACCACTGGGTTTAAAATTAGACCTTAAGTGTATGGTAATTACTACATATTCAAAGAGGCAATTATAAAAAATGGGAAAGATATTATTACTCCATGTTTTCTTCCCTTGTCTTTTAGCTGTACCTTGTGTTATATTTTAATGGTTTCTAGAGATCTATAAATCATTGCTACCCATATTGGATTTATATTTAATAACGTCCCCAAAATGTAAAGACCTTGCAAAGTACAGTTCTCCCTCCCCCTTTATAGGCCTATGTGGTGCTTCTTCACATTTTTATACTTCCAATAATTATGGATGTTACTTTAAAATACTTTTTTTCAAAATTAAATAGTCTTGGATCGCGTGTGGAAACATGAAGCTGTTCACCTACGATCTGCGGAGCTCACATGTGCCGGGGGTGGGTCCTCGTGTCCCAGCCACCGAAGTTGGAGTCGGAATCAACCCGGTGGAGTTCAACCTCCACTACGTGGCGAGGATGATACCCATGTGGAGTGGGTGGTGCTTCTGGAGGCGTCTTATGCCTTGCACCTGGTGGAGGTGCCAAAAGAGCTGATTGAGGGCTACGTGAAGGAGGAGACATTTCTGAGAAAGATGTATCACCTGTTGCTGGAGGTGGACGTGCTGGAGGGCACACTGCAATGCCTAGAGTCTGGACGTGTGTTCCCCATCAGCCGCGGGATCCCCAACATGCTGCTGAATGAATAGGAAACCGAGACTTAACTGTGTCAGGCACCAGTTTTACGTTTTGTGACCGTGTGTATTTTTGTTACATATATTCTGTTTGCTAGTTTGGCAGTGTGTATTCCCAGTCCTTGACCCAGTGACAAACTGGCTACAGTGTTTTTGAGCTCCACAGTATATAATTTTTTTTTCCTCATTAAAGTTTCAAAACCAAAAAAAAGAAAGAAAGAAAGAAAAACAAAAATGAAACAGTCTTGTAAGTTATCCTTTTTGGTACTCTTCATTCTTTCCTGTGTGTCTGTATATCCATAATGGGTCACTTCAGCTTTGAGAACTTCCTCTAGAGTTTCCTGTCTCATTCGTTAGCATTTCCTGTACTATAGATCTGTTAGTGATATATTCCCTTAGCTTTCTTTCTGACTTTAATTTATTTTCATTTTTGGCAAATATTTTTTTACTGGCCATAGAACTCTAAGCTGGCAATGTCTGTTGTTGTTGTGTTCAAATCCTTTTAAGAAAGCCATTCGACTTTATTGGTTCTGATGAGAAGGCGTTCAATTCTTGTTGATGTTCTTCTTAAATATGAAGTCTCTTTTCTCTGGCTGTTCTCAGTGCATTTTTTCCTTTATAGTTTGTGCTGAGTAGTCTCAATATGATACGCCTAGACTAGTTTTCCTCTTCATTCT